GCCCAATTCACGGCACAAGCAAGTATGTTGCACATCAGATCTGAGCCAAGCACTGTGATTGCGCTACGCGAGTCGCGGTGTTGCTGATTTGGAGTGGCAATGAGCACAGTGACCATTCCGTGCGGTTCGCAACGGTCCCTTCCGGAGAAATCAAAATCAGAGAATGGAGGTAGAGTTAGGGCCATTGCGTGCGGTTCTCTCCATACCTATCTCATTATCTCCTTTCTCCCTCTATTTACTACCAAACGCTTTCGGGCGTTGCCTGGTTGCTGTGAAGTTGACGGAGTCGCGGTTGGGTTGTGGTGGTAGTTGTGCTCGTGGTGGTGGTGTTTGGGCGACTGTGGTTTTGTTGGATCGCCCAAGAATAACTAATCAAGAGGGGGGGTGAATTGGTTATTAAAATTTTTTGGTTAATCACTCAAGATTTTAATAAGTGAGCATACTAATGATAGAGAATAGTCTAAACACAAGTAAACACGTAAATGGAACAATGTAAATTTGCGCGAAGTAAATGCGTTAAGTAAAAGGGATAGAGAATGCAAACGATATATTATGGAGGTTCGATCCAATCCAATGATCTACGTCCCTCGTTACCAAGCTCTTCGTCACGAATAAGGCCAAATGCACTATAATGGTAATTTACAACAAGGAGTACCAATCCTTAAGTGACTTACAACAAGGAGCACTTATTCTAGGTGACTTACAACAAGGAGCACATATCCTTATAATCGAGTTTTCACAAGGCTCTCGAAACCGTCAAGAAATAAGTGATAAATTACAATGAAGAAACTCTCTTAACAAATGATATAATCAAGTTAAGTATTAGAGAGTTAGGTAAACACTTCAATAGATAGCAAATAATAAAGCTCAAGTGTTGATGTTGTAAACTTTGATGAATAATGAATAATGAAATAGTTTGTATCTTTGTATCAAAGTTTTTCAACCAATGATCTCTCTTAACAAATAATACAAGTTAAGTATGAAGAGAGATTTACACTTTAATAAAAGTGTTGGCAAAGAAAACCTTTATCAAGAATTGAAGAATAGATGAGATTGAGAAAGTTTCTTTGCAAAAAGAATTCTTGATGAAATAGATGAAACTAGTTTTGATCAATCAAGAAATTCTTTGTATCAAAGTTTTCAAGCCAATGATCTCTCTTAACAAATAATACAATTTAAGTATGAAGAGAGATTTACACTTTAAATCAAAGTGTTGGCAAAGAAAACTTTTATCAAAAATGAAGAATAGATGAAGTTTGTGAAGAGTTCTTTGCAAAAAAGATTTCTTGATAAAATGAATGAACTATGTTGAATCAATCAAGAAACTCTTTTGTAATAAATGAAATAGAATTTATACTCAAGTAAACTCAATGATTTCTCAATAAAAAAGCTCTCAAAAATCTCTTCTAAGTTGGTGAAAATGAATGGAGAAGAGAGGGGCATTTATAGAGCAAAAAAGGGTTGCTCTCGGGTAAGTTCGGTTGACCAATTTGAAATTATAGCCTTTACTTTCGGTCGACCGAAGTCATCCGACAGGCCGGACAGCCTTCAGTATTTTGATCATATCTTTTTCTCCCGATATCCGATTAAGGTGATTCAAAATGGGTTAGAAAGCTGACTCAAGGGGCTACAACTTTGATTCAGAAATCATCTTCAAATTAGATCATTTTCTATGTCAAAAATCTGTCCCAATATGAGATTGAAGTCAACCAACAGGCCGGACAGCCTTCAGTATTTTGATCATATCTTTTTCTCCCGATATCCGATTAAGGTGATTCAAAATGGGTTAGAAAGCTGACTCAAGGGGATACAACTTTGATTCAGAAATCATCTTCAAATTAGATCATTTTCTATGTCAAAAATCTGTCCCAATATGAGATTGAAGTCAACCGACAGGCCGGACAGCTTTCAGTATTTTGATCATATCTTTTTCTCCCGATATCCAATTAAGGTGATTCAAAATGGGTTAGAAAGCTGACTCAAGGGGATACAACTTTGATTCAGAAATCATCTTCAAATTAGATCATTTTCTATGTCAAAAATCTATCCCAATATGAGATTGAAAATCGGAGTATAACTTTTTGATTGAAAGTTGAAGTGTGTTCTTTTGAGGGACGTTTGAAAATGATTTTTCAAGGTTTTTGATATATTACAAATGTTCAAAATCATTTTCATGTCAAATCAATTTATGTAAGTGATAAATTTATGAGAAATACTTGAGCTTTATGCACTTACTAAACATTGATGAGTTATACCTTTACATATAAAAATAAGGTTCGATAAATAACTGCATCTTCAAAGTTCTTGATCTCTTTGAGCATCTCTTTGATTTGTATCTTGATTTGCAATTTTGTTAAGTTCCAATTTGATTATCGCATGCAAATCACTATTGTCTCGAGTGATTTGTCTTGAATGATCGTTTAAACTTCACTTGTACTTCATTTGAGTGTGAATAATTATCTTTATAACTTTGAAGAGTTAAACACTCAATTCAATTTGTTAGTAAATAAGATGGACTTGTTTGTTATAATCAAAACATTAAGGTCATGATCAACCATAGGTCAACAATGTTGGATATGGTGGTAGCTATGGTGGTGGTATTGGATCTTGGTGGTGGTGTTGGTTATGGTATGCGCGCCATGTCCAGATCGCAGCTCAACAATTTGATGTGGGTTTTTGGTTGTGTTTTCAATTGGTGGTGGATGGGGGCTGTGGTGGTCGAAGGTGCTGGTGAGATGTTGGCGATAGGTCTGTCAGGTCGTGGTGGATTTGGCGCGATGATGTGATGGTATTTTTATGCGATGTGTTGATTTGTTTGAGAACTTGTTAACCGTCGAGAGGTGGTTGTGGTGGTTCTAGTAGCGATGGTGGTGCTGATAGGAGTTGTGAGGTGGTGGTCACAAGTGTTGGTTGTGTTCATAAATTGTCTGATTGTTTGTGACCATTAAATTGATTAATATGTGATCGATAAACAATATGTAAACAATAAAAAATTGTGACTAAAAAATTGTTAATTTGTGACCGATACTTTGACAATTTGTGATTGTTTACTAAATTGTAACTTATAATATTTGTGATTTGTGACCGATGAATAAGTTGTGACGTATAATTTTTTTTATTTGTGACCGATGAAGAAATTGTGATTTATAAAATTTCTTAATTGTAATCGTTAAATAATTTGTGACATATAAAATTTTTGATTTGTGACCGTAAAATAATTTGTGACTTATAAAATTTTTTATTTGTGATTGATCAACAAATTGTTACATAAAATTTTTGAACTATGATCGTAAAATAATTTGTGAAATGTAAAATTTGTATTTGTGACCGATGAACAAATTGTGAACTATAAAATTTTTGAATTATGATCGTAAAATAATTTGTGCATATAAAATTTGTGATTTGTGACAAATTAATAATATGCGACCAATTATATAGATTTTGTGACCAAATTATATGAAATTGTGAATTTAATAAATTTAATTAATAAAATATATGTTTTATTAATTAATTTATAAATAAAATTTAAAAATATTTGAAATTTGAAATTTTAACCTTAAGTTCTTAAATTTGGAATTGGTAAAACTAAATTTCTTAGTTATGAAATCTTCCCTAAATTTTTATTAGATTTTGAAAAATTTTGATGAATATATGGTTGAAAAGTTGATAATAATTGTGGTCCGTCCCATAAAATATGTTGTTAAAAATAAATTTGAAGAAAAATGAATTTTAAAAATGGGGGTCCGACAAGAGCTAGATCTCATATTCTTAGAAGAAAATGTTATAAACATACTAATTTACAATTTATCAAAATTATTGATTTATCTTCACTCCCAAGTTGGGACCCACAAAAGTTATTGTACTAATGAGATCTCTACCTTATCAAACTATCATCACACAGAGATGCGTCTCTTTATTTGTATGCAAAATAAAACTAGATGGTACAAATTTAACAACACTTTTTTCCTTCAAGGAGTGATACATTGTACATTCTAGATCGATGCAAGAGGGAACAAAAACTTGATAAAATTGTTACTTCTCACATTAAGATTAATGAGAATCTGTATATCTATTTTGTATGTAATATTTTAACTAAGCTATGTAGAAAATAAATTTGATCTCACATTCTCAACAGAAAGGTATTATTTTACAATTTATCAAAATTATAAATTTATCTCCATACCCAAGTAGGGATTGACAAAGTCTATTGTACTGATTTATAAAGATTCGTCTGAATGCGAGACTATATCTTCTTTCGTTGCTACAGTAATTCAATATGGTGAAAATAAATTTACAAGATAAAAATCGCATACGCTGTTTTCTTTAACTATTTTATATTTTTTTTATGATGAAAATTCGCACAACGATAATAATTAGACTCCACAACTTAACATAAATTATAGAGAATGCTGTACCTCAGCAATTGCCAAATAACAAAGTAACTTACTCGAAAGTTATACAATTTCTCATTTACAGAATGTTTGTTTCCCATTTTGCCTTCATTTTTAGAAAAAAAAAAAAAAAAAAAGAAGAGCCGTTAGAGGGCCCTAAATGGCATGACAGGTTTGAATTTCATCTCACAATAATTTTGGCTTGTGTGCCCAACGGTCATAAAATATATTCTCATTTTTGGCCAAAATGGTTACCAAACAGGGGCTAAGTTTGTACAATTTTTCATTTAGTTTGACGACATAATTGAAATGACTTGAGCATAATAAGCTACCATTGATTTGGCATCTTCAAGAAAGACCTTCGGAGTTTGCTCTTAATGCATGTAACAGGTGCCATAGAACAAGATATATATTTCAAGTAATTACATTATCCTAATGCCAAATGATCCCAAACAAGAAGTCCCCATCATTTGGCAATAAAAAGGGTATAAAATTCAAGTAGTTAACAATAATATTTATGTTAACTAGCAATATATAGGCAGTTATAAGCACAAGAAACTTGAGAAGACATTGCTGCCACTGATTCATATATAAGCACAAGAAAAGCTTTCAAATTGCATACATTTTCTTGAAATCATTGTTTAGGACTTCTGAATCTGAAAGTAAAGATTTCGACCAAGACCGATCTCTGCTGGCCTGCATAGAGTTCTTTCGTATGCTCTTCTTGTTCGAGGACTCTATCCGATTCATAATCACCCAATAACACATTGTACCTATCGTCGTTGCCAATATTGTAGTTCCTATAATTGTCACTCCAATTGCGAGCCACCTATCGTGCTTTCCAACTACAACAAACGACAATGCCAAGAATGCCACCGAAATAAGCACACAAGCTAACCACATTAGCTTGTTTATAATCGCCATCATCTGCTTCTTCGCCTTGCTTTCTATTACCACGACTGAGGTTTGCACCACCACGACTGCTAGAGAAATGAACAGGGCAACAGAGTCGAAGATCAAGAAAATCTGAAACGAAGGTTTTGGAGCAATATTTGCTTCCCCAAGGGAAAACCCTGGAGGAATATCATTAGGGTCATCGACATACTGGCCAGGAACAGTGAATATTGCGGCAAATGCAACGGTGGCAATGAGTACAGCCACAACAGTAGTCGAGTTAATGGCATTGTTGAGCCCCTCCGTATGCATTTTGTTGAGGCGTTTAGCTATACCTTGCACGCGTTTTCTAGTTTGACGCGTGTGTTCTAATTGATTATGAACTTCATGCTTTATGTCACTCACGGTTTGCTTTAGCTCCCGAGCTGGACTTGTAGTCTGAGGCTTTATCATCTTTGCACTCTGAACACCGTGCTCCTTCAGGATGGCTGCAATATCAGCATTCCCCATTTTCTCTGCAGTGTCGAAGGCAGTTTCGTTCGATCGGTTAACAACTCTTGTATCGGTTTCATTTTGTCCTAGAAGCATCTTCACAATCTGCATAAGTTAAAACAAGACATGACATTATCAACAAACTATTACCATAAGTTAAGGATTTCCCCAAAATTCTAATAAAATAAGACATGTCTACAAGAGTACCTGTGTCCTCCCTTTCCGGGTGGCTATATGCAATGCGGTGTTTCCCTTGTTATCGACCATATTTATTGACATCGGATCTGCTTTAATGAGTTCCTCTACAACATCGAGATTTCGTCCTTTAACGGCCATGTGAAGTGCAGTCTGTCCCTTTTTATCAGTTCGAGTTGCAATCCCGGGCTCCTTACTCAAGAGGGCCGTAAGAACTTGTGTATGCCCATTTCTTGCAGCAGAATGCAAGACTGTTTTCCCATTACTTTTAGCTATAGTGGCAAGGCTGCTTTCGGATTCCAAGAGATAATTTACGACCTCTATGTGCCCTTGAGTCCCTGCAGTATGCAAAGCCGTGGTATTTGCTATATCTACGGTCATGGACAGCTCGGGATGTGCTTCCATCAACACCTTCACCACTTCTGCAATACACGAAGTTAAGATTTACATTGAATCTTAATCAATAAACAGATAAAACAAAACGAAAAATCTAATCTTGTATCCACAAATACCCAAATCCCCTTGTTTGGCAGCTATGTGAAGTGCATCAAAGCCATTCCTCGCTTTGATTCCAGCAGCCGCAAGGTCATAGAATTCAATCATCTCCCTCACCAACTCAAAATAACCATATTCAGCAGCTACGTACAAGGTTGTTTCTCCAGCTGAATTTTGTTTCGATAGCAACTCTGTCAATTCTTCCTCTCTAGTACCATTGATGATTTCCCTTATGGCAACAATATTCCCTGCTCTAGCTGCAGAATGCAATGCAGTATCGTCTCGCCTCCCTGTCAATTGTTTCGTCATCTTTTTCCGGGGGGTGGCTGGCTGTACTGCCGGTCCCTCCATCGTATCGAATAATTAAAAACCCTCCTTCAACTTATTCTAATCTACAATAAAAAATCTCTTCCTCAGCCCCTCAGAAACCCCTATCAATAATCGCATTTCAAATCCCAATAAGAGAGAGCAAGACTAACAATAACAAACTAAACCTTATTCCCGATAAGTCTTATTATTAAAACCTGAGAATAAGCTAACCAACCCAGTTTATTTGGAATTTATCAAAGGACTTGAAATTGTTACCTAAATTCCATTATGAATGAAGCACAATGAAACTGCTCAAAAAGCTAACCTAAGCTCCACTTCTTCCTCCACATGACCAAGGTTTTCATTCAATCTAAGCCCTTCTGTTTCTGATTATGATCTCAAAGAGGATTCACAATTTTTTTTGGCTGCAAAAAAAAAAAAAAAATAATAATAATAATAATCTGTCAATATAATCTCTCTTGCAAACATCAACTCAATTACCAATCTATTGATTATTTCTGCTTTTCCCAATGGATTACAACTATAAAGATCAAATTACTTAACAATGAAGGCAAAAATTTACCTGCGGTGGGAAGGAAACCCAAAAGCCATACATTTAACAACTTACTTATAATCAAAAACAATCTTTTGCTGAGATTTAAAGATGATAGAAATCAAAATGTTTGGCTTTTCTTTTGTAATGGAATAAGAAAATGATATAAAAAGGTTACAAATGCAAGAGGTTAAGAGAAAGTGGTCATGAAAGAAAGGCACATGACATCCAACAAAAAACTTTATATATATAATGATATAATGTATCTATACATCACATTCAGAGCTCTGAATTCATAAAGAAACAGAAATTAACCTATAAAAGATGGGTCTTTTGTAAGTTGATGATTCTGGGGTGTCTGTTGATGGAAAAAAAAAAACAGACTGAAAGAGAAATCAGAATATTCTTTTCAATTTCTTAAATTTGCTTTTTTGAGGCATAATTTTGAGAATCAATGGCAGAATAACCAAACATGGACAGCATAACAAGTGTTGAATGGAGATACTGTGAGGTGCTGTCCCTCCTAATTATAAGGGATGTTTGTACCATGGTTAAGGGTGGGCAAAGGCACCTATATTAGGGGGGTCGACTGGAATCTAGTCGAATTTGACAGTTCAGTTCGGTCTTAGCTAAAAAAGAATTTAACTTTTAATCGAGAATGAAATCTGTTTGCTATATATATATATATAATTTTATTATTATTATTATTTTTTTTTTGATAATCGTAAATGTCCGGACCATTTTGCGCGCACCTCGATTAATCCCACAAAGCCTTGAAGTTTACGGCCGGATACTTACCTCAGTGATCCCAATAAGACTCGAACTGGTGACATTGAGAAGCGAACCCAAGACCTGTTTGCATTAATCATTAGGCAAATAGGTTTTCCGGATAAAACGAAAATTGATTTTAATGTACATTTCGCATGGTCAAAACTTGCAATCTAAATCGGGGACCAGCCAGCTAGTTCTATTTGATTCGGTGCGATTTCATCACTTAGTTTTATGTGTAAAAATTACTTTTAACTTTGTCTAATTCTCTTAAGGACTTGACATGATCGAATCGTGTTTGTCTCTAATCGTGATGAATATTATTTATACCACGCGCGGTATTGTCGAATGTGGTCTTGATAGGTAGAAAATTATGAATGACCTTTTTCTTTTTTACTATTTTGTGGGCCTTTCAACCAGGAAGGTGGTTAAAATAAATAGTCAAGATGGTCCAATGAAAAGGAAAAATAGAACGCTTACAGCCTATTACAAGGGATGAGTTTGGAATTTGTTTCCTACGTTCACACATAACTAAATTTGTCAATTTTCATTTAATTATATTTAATAGTATCGCGTAGTATTCTCTCTTTATTTTCATATCTTCTAGAAGCAACTAAATATCATTATGCTTCGAAGAAGCTCGACTCTCGACATTTGCCTCGGAGCATGAGGGCGCGAACACCAATGAAAATAGTTAAATTAACTTACAACCTATCGATTTATAAAAATAGCAATTCCCGTTCAATTAAGTCGGTATAGAATAATTAAATAACACATCGACTCGTTCTTTATGAGCATCGATTTCCTAAAATCTTAATTGATTGATTGAATCTCTCATTTTTCGATTGGACAATTACTATTGCAACTATTCTGCAATTGAAAAGTAAGATATGCTTATTATCATTTATTCATATAAACGAATATATACTTCAAAACGAGTATGGGATGAGCAAATGTCTATGGGGTAGATGGAGAAAAAGAAGTTGATTTTTGAATTTAAATTTTAAATATTTGATTTTATTTATTTTATTATAAAAAATGTAAAGTTACCATTTTAACCTTTTAAAATTAATCAAAATTGTTGTGAAGATCAATTATTTGGTTAACCAACGGTTAAACCAACAAAAACCATCAATTTGGATTTCAGCTGCAATATTTTGAAACGTTTAGTATTGTATGTGACACAAATGAAGGGTTTGGATAAAATCTGCTATTAAATGAAAGATTTAGTATCGCTGCTGCAATTATCCATTGATTTAATAAAAAATAAAAATATTAGACTAAATAATTGCACATGGTCAATCTCTAATTAGTTCATTTTTTTTAATACAAAAATGTCACAAATACCTAATCTCAAGCCAAATATTTGATGCATAGTATAAAGAATTTTATTTAGTATTATCTAATCAAATATATTAAACTTGTCATCGATGTCATTTCGCAATCCTTCCTTCTCTCTTTAATAAAAATTCTCGAGTTGAATAACTTTATTCCTCATCTTTTTTTTCTTTTTTTTCGTTTAAATGCGATATTCGAAAGTTCATTTCATTCGGTAAATAGAACTATCTAAACCAACCTTAGAATATTCAACCCTGTTTCAACTTTGACTAATTAATTGGATTGCTACGCTTAGATGTTGTACATATTTATTATACCATTGACATATTGTATTAGTTAATTAAACAGCCTCTATTTCAACGTTGTCCTTAAATTGTGGTCTTTGGGTCCTTATTATCCATTCATGCACTACCTACCATTAATATTTTTTCCCTTATAGTTTGTCAACCAAAATATTAAAATTTATCTAAGAAATATATCTGTCTTGCAGGTACTAGGTAGGGCTGTCAATAGATAGAATTTTGTTCCGAATTTGATCCGAATTGGATAAAATTAATGGAAGATGGATTTAGAATCTCAATTCGATAACCTAAATATAGATATAAGTCAATCCGATCCGATTCAATCCAGTAACAACTCAATCCATTTTGTTATAATAATATAACATATTTCATATATTATCTCTTAATTTATTACATAT